GGAAAGAGAAGTTCCGATGTAGGCTACTGAGATCTCAACAGCAAAAAGCCCGAGGCTCACCACGCACATGAGGATGAGCCTGCTGCTCCTGCCCGAGTAGCGGCCCATCCCTGCTGCTCTCCTCCCCTTACTCTGAGCTTCTGCAAGACAGAGCCGTGCGAGGAGCAACTCGCTGCCTGCGGTTCTGCCCTTCGCTTGTCAGCGCCGCTCACATGTGGGAGCCACTTTTATAGGAAGCAGTAAAGCAATAAATCAGTGTAAAGGGCAGCCTTAGCAAGATTTGTCATGTGAAGGCAGCCTCAAGGCTCCAGCCCCGAAGGGGTTCCACCCTCTGGAGGTTTTTTTTACCTACAAACCCACAAATAATCCAAGGGAGACTACTTGAAGCACCAGCCCCCTCTACTCTACTCCATAGCATTATGCTAAAAAACTGAATAAAGCCTAGGCAGAAGAGTGCAAGAAGCATTGCTTTTGCATAAAACCCTCCTCACATGTCTGCTTCAGCCATTGCTGTTGCCAGTAACTTTAGTCCTGAGAAAGTACTACTACATGCCTGCAGAATACATTTCAAATCCATGCTGGGTGGACATTATTTTTAAGAACACGAACTACCTGTGAGGGTCATGAAACTTGTTGTCCATAGAGCATGTTTCAAAAACAACAGATCTTCCATTTTATCAACCTAGAGCTCTCAACTGTTTGTACTTCTGGCACATTTTAACATTGTCCATAGAAATGGAGCAAAGCTGGAGGCCACTTCCTAAACACGCAGCCAGTAGACACAGAAGCTGAACCTTAAAAATGAACCCAGAGTATTTATTTCTCAATTAGAAAACCTTGCCTATCTCAAAATCCCAAAGTAATCATCATATCATTGCAGGGAAGAGTCAGATTTGGGGAAAGCACAACCAGAAGTTAAAGGGGAAATAAGAGCTGCAGAAGTCCTGGCTTGTACTTGCTGCCATTTCTGGAATGGAATAAGAACCTGAAGCAGTAACTTTTTTTTGTTACTCGCTGTAGTACCTGTTGAGCTCTTGAGTGTACACAAGGTTTATGCACACTCACAAACTGCAGTGAAGGAAATCTAGCTGCTAATCACACACTGGACAACACAGATGATAAGAGCAGGTACCTTCCTTGAAAAGTTTATGATCTAGTTTTTGTTTGAAATGCTCATCTGTGTACATATATGCACACAGATAGTTTCACGGCAAAAAGGAAGGAAATTACATGCAAAGCAGCCACAGGGAGATAAGATAATAATACTGATAACCCGAGCCGACCAATTATCCCTGCTGACCTTAGACTCCCCAAGGTGAATTAACTTCAGGTTAAAAACTCAAATGCCCACTCTCAATTTGCATTTTTTTTTCTTTTTTTTGCTCACGGGTTTTCAACAGCCAAAATATTTATGTCTAAAGTCCAGTTTGTTAGAAGCCTTGCCTGCCAATAGATTTTTAACATGTTAAAAGCTAAAAAATGTAGTCATTCCTCTACCTATACACTGCCCTGCAACTCTGGAGCCCTTCCACCATTTTAAGACTACCACTAAACCTGGTAAGGTGGTGAATTAATAGAATAAATTACAACATCAAAATTGGTACTTGCTCTTCTTCATCATGTCGCACCTGTGTTACCGCTTCTATTCCATCTATTTCTATGGTGTTTTCTTCCTTCTTGTATTAAAGTAACATTCATCTACTTAAGTATTTTATTATCTGAACTACAGAGCATGAAAAGTGAAAATTTTTTTTTCCAAGAGTTGTCCTTTCAATGAGAACAGACCAAGGTCAAACTTCAGAGCTCTCCAAAGTCCTGCCTTACACAAGGTTTTGATTACCGAAAGAAGAGCTCGAGCTACATGAAGCATTGCCTTTGCAGGAGAGCTAAAATGCTTAAGTGTGCTCTGTTTTGGCAATAAGGAGCAGCACTACGTTAAGGCAGTTCCCCTACATCCCACCCTACTATGCTATTTAACTCAAATTTATCAGTATACAACTACAAGAACTAAGGAACAAATTGATTTGGAGTAGTGTCATTTAATCAACTGTAGTGTACTATTCTAATTCACATACCTATTTTCTAACTGATGCAATCTACTTAAAAACAGCCTCAAAATTGTGTAATTAACAATATGAATGTTTCTGTAACGGTTTCACAGAGTTCAGATTGTGCTTCTGGCAAAAAGATAGTTCACGCAGACATGTCTCTCAGAGGCAGATATTAGCCTCTCTGTGGAAGATAACCACAGAGAAATCTGCAGGTGACTCATCCAAATTCTAGACACTTCCAGACACCAAGCCCTACTTATGATGAGGAAGAAACATGCTGAGAAGAATGAAAGAAAGAAAAAAAAAAAAAAAAAAAAAAAAGAAAAAAAGAGAAGAAAAAAAATAAAAAAGGGAAAAAAAGAAGAAAGAAAAAAAAAGAAAAAAGGAAAAAAGGAAAAAAGGAAAAAAGAAAAAAAGAAGAAAAAAGAAGGAAAAAGAAGGAAAAAAAGAAGAAAAAAAGAAAAATAAAGACTAAAAATAAAAAGGCTAGCCTCCTGTGAAATCTCTGGCTTCAAACAAACCCATTTGTGGGTTGAGAGCAACTCATTTCTAGGAACAGCGTCATCAACATGTTTACACATGAATTTGAGCCAGTCAGCTGGCTGAAGGTTGGCTGTTTGTTCATACTGATAAGGTTGCAGAAATGTTAGAGACTGCATTTAGTTTTGCATTTTCTTTGTTCTGCAATATGAACATCTCCCATATCTCGTTTTTCAACTGCTGGTGTTGTAGAGCGTTTCGATGGGAGCTGAAAGTGCTCATCCATTCCTATTAATCTGGTGTGCTCTGTCAACAAATTTTGGTGCATTCCCATCTCTTATACCCAAGGACATCAAAGCTGCTGGCTGCTGCGTCTCTCCTTCCCGCAGCATGAGAGCGTTGCAGGATTTCTGGAAACCAGGCTTAATTACACATCATTAGCAGCTGGCAAAACATCACCATTTACGCTCCTTCTCAAAATGTGATTCCAGTCAGCATGAGAGGCAGCGCACTGGGACAGAAAGACCTCGGGGGCACTCTTCTGGTATGTCAACTGAAAACGAATGCACCGATACATCACTCCCTGAATCCTTTGCTCCATTACTACCCGAGACTGTCTATAGAGGGAGAAAATATCTAGACAGATAAATGCAATAGAGATGATTTTTGAGATGCAACTGAAGCAAATCCCTCAGGACCAACCATCATCCAAGGAATACTGCAGAGTGCTCAAGCGCTGAGCAAGCCGATCTGAAACATTTAATAATTTTTGCACTTTTCTGTGAAAAGCTGGGTTATTATCATAAGGTGCATGTTCCTAAACCAGAGAGACCACTGGATCAAATTTAATATTCAACACTTTGACAAGGGTGACTGACCACGAGAACCTGGACAAATGCAAACATTTTGCATGCTTTTGAAAAGCAGAGAAGTGTGAAGATCTGGGAACAGCACTGTGAGCCTCCTGGATACTTTAGACTATTGATGCTGCATAAAAATAGGCTTTTGCAAATAGGCAGTCATGTGGTATCGCCCCAGAAAGAGTTCAGGAAGAACCTTACTGATCTAACTTTTTAATTGTCAAGTTTTCACTCAACTCTTTTCAGGGAAAGTGTAGACAGCCTTCAAATACACACGAGTAAAATGTAACAAAATAAGCATGTGACATCTAAAAGTTATTTTGTGCCAGGGCTATATCTTTTTTTTTCTTCTTTTAAGCCAATCATATGCTCAGAGTGGAAGTAATTTTATTTTTTAAATAATTTTTTAACTCTGCAACATCCATCCTTCTCTGCACATAGTAAGTGCAGGGAAAACCAAAAGGGTTTTATGAAACATGCTACAGATACAAGTCTTCAGCACTGAAAATACCTCTCTTTGGATTGCTTTTGCATGACTCATCGCAGTATCACTGTGAGACAGCTGTAAATGCCAGTTTATAAGATAAGAGAAACAGGGCTTTGCAAAGTACCCGCAAGTACTGGCATTCACCTGCGTCTTGCCAACAATGTGGCCTTTAATTTAAGAGAGCCTTTCAAACTTGTTTTTTGAAGGGATGAAAATATTCCTTGAAACACCTGGCTCCAGAGGGAGTCCTCAAAAAGAGCGGCACTCACCATGCCTACAAAGTTAGCAGCAAGTCTGCATTCTGACGACTGAAAAATGCAAAGGGGAAATTAAAAGCAATGTTTTATCTATAAAGATTGTCCGCACACTAAACTATACTGCAGAGTGTGGCAATCTTTCAGGCATTTTCTCAACATACATGAAAACACATGCATCAAAAAGGAAAAAAAAAAAGAAAGACATGAGCAAAGGACACCTTCCCCGTCGAGCAACACAGAACAAAACCAGCCAAAACGTATTACAGCTCACAATACGTGTTTATTATTAGAGATGTTTACAGAAAAGTCTGTGAATTACTGCTAGCCTAAGACTGACAACTGAGGGGGGTTATAGACTATGGCTTTGTTTTTTTTGGAATCATTTAAAAAGTCACAAAACTGATGATTAAAGTTTGGGGGCTATTTCAGTCTTATTAAAAAAAGTTCAATTCACAGATAAAGGAGAAGGTACTTTCACTAGTAATTTAGTAACTACGGCCAAATAGGGTGTAAAACTTGGCAGGGTTTTTGCTGCAGACACATCTTGCCCCGCGCTGCAGTTCACAGAGAGGCTGAAAAGGTATGCAGAGGCTTTTTGCTCCCATGGAGGGGGCGCCAGGCTCTAGATCTTGATCCCTGAAATAAAAGCACACTCATAAATACATACTTTTCTTTTCAAATCAAGGTGCCATAAAGTGTGTTAAACGTAAAATCTCAAAAGCACACTGATTACTCTGGAAGTTTCAGAACTAAGGGAGTAAATATATTGGATCATGTAGAGCAGCAAGAGTCAAAGGTGAGGACCGTCAATCAGTGTTATATCTACAGGCATCTTACATTCCTGTTTTATATTCAAATTATTTTGATTACAATCTTGGTAGATCCTCTCCAGTTCAGTTATATTTTACCTGGCAGTAGTCTTCTTGATCCAATCCTCACACTCAATTTCCCCACAAAAAGGGATTTGTACAATCTGAAAGGCAGAGGAAAACAAAAAAGACCACAGTTATGCATCTAAAATAATCATTCTTGTCTCTGGAAGATTCCTAATCCTTAAGATCGTATAGAGTCAAAATGGGAAAAGTTCCAATTGCTACAATGAAATTTTAATAACTCTAATCAGAGAAATAGATAAGCACAGTTATCACTCCACAGTGCAGCACAGGAAAACTTACACAAACTCAAAGCAGAGCTTAAGTCAGGGTGCTGACTATTCTTCTTCCTTTTGTAAAAAGTATGAATACAGTTTTCTCTTGAAATACTGTGTTTTTCAGAAGTTTAAAACTTTAAAACCGCAGAACAAACACTTGCTTACATACTGCAAGACAGTGCTTTCCTAATGAAGTTTCCATTTCCATTTCATTACTATGAGTTTTCATATTTTCTGAACAACACATATTTACATATTTTATGACATCAGAATTGTTAAGAGCACATTTCTCCTGGGGAAGTGGTCCGTATTTTCCTGCTGTTTCCTTCAGTTAGCTTAACTGAAGAAAATTGACAAAGATGCAAAGATAATCTCATAGACTCTTCTCAGTACTATTCTTAGCTATTGTAGCAAATCTCTATTCCTAAGTTTTGCATTCCATGTTTACCACTTTTTTAAATTTTGAATTGGCTTTCACAGTGAAAATTCTGTTTACTACTAAAAAGTAGTATTACTGTTAAAAAGACACTCCCTAAACACATCTCAATACTTTTAATGCTAATAACTAAGGACAAGAAGAGCTGCTGAATTCAGTCTCCACAGTGATTTTAATCGTATTCCAACTGTGCATAGGGTTTGTTCGTCTGTGGCTTCTTTCACCAAATTTACATTCTTAGTGCAAAATTCTCAATTGGCTTTGAACTGGAACATACCTTTATTAGACTTCATTTTATAGCTTCGCTGTCTTGCTATTGAAAAAAGGAATTATTATCACTCTACTGTTCTTGCATTAATCTTTTGTTAGTTACATGAAACTTTGTACAAATACCTGTGCAATTATTCCGTTTCAGCTAAACTTTGCATCTAACTTAAAAGAACACAGAAGCTGTCCACATTTTTAAAGACCTAATAGTCTATGCTGCAATTATAGTAGGGGGAAAACAGCAACAGGGATTCAGCAGAAGTACTTCGGCTTAAAAATTTTCTTCTGAAACAGCAGTGAGAACTAACATAGTGCAATTTCAAGCAATTACGGAATACATACTATAAAATTCTTTCCATAAAACATATACAGGTAGAGAGTGAAAGAGTCATAAAATTACATGCGTCATTTTTTCCATTCAGATACGCCAATTATAGTAAACATATACAATCAAAAGTGCCAGAATAGTGCAAGTATCCCACTTGGGAGTAAAAACATTTGTTCACATTCCTACATTTAATCACATTATAAATTAGGTTATATTAGAGTTCTAAACATAATACAAAAGGTTTAATTCTCTTGGCCTTCTCCAGAATCTAGCTGTATGAAACAATGAGTGTTTGACATTGAAGACCAAGCATCTTACCCTCTCCATCAGCAGAGGAGAAGGGGGTTCTTCAGCATTTCATCAAAACTAAAGGATAATGATTTATTTGCATGTACAGGTACAGAATTAGCGTCAC